CCCCAAAACCCCAAAACCCCAAAACCCCAAAACCCCTTGTGTTTAATCTAATATTGAAATGCTGTTATCTTATTCTGAAGTAAATTGGTAGATCTAAAACTCTGTGAATGTGATAAATCTGTCCCTAGGTTATACTTAAATATCAGGTTCTAGACTCTATCGTATGAAGCTATTAGGGAGTCTTCAGACAGTTTCTTAGGCTTCTTTATGGTTCATAATTTCAACATAGAGTTGGTATTAGAGGCAAAAGTTTAAATAAGATGACTGGATCTTAAAGAAATTGGGTCAACTGGTTATTTTTGGGTGGAAGTCAATGAGAAAGTAGGTGAAAATAAGGAGAGTTGAGAGATAGCTGAGGGGTTTGAGATTTGAAGGTGGTAGAGTTGGGGTATAGGTTATTTGGAGAGCGATGATTGATTTGGTATGTTTTTAGAGGGTTTAGAGATGGATTTTGGTTTGATGGGTTTTTGCTTTTGTGATAGATTAAATTTAGTTTTATGGCTTAAAATTTGATATTATATTAAATTAACCTCCATTTTTGTTGTTGCACAAGTATCTATTCAACTTTGTGCATTAGAAAGAATATGTAGAGGTATTTAATTGATTTTTATATTTTTGATTTTTCTTTTCTACCACTTGTCTCCAAACCTGAATTCACTTCCATCTTTATTTTTGAAGAAAATCCTCAACTCTAATACCTATCTTTTTCCAAGAAAACCCAAACAAATTAAGAGACAACTTTGCCAGAAGATTCAATAATAATTACTTAAAAACTATATAGTCGGCTAGTATATCCTCCAAACCCCCTTTAACAATACCACTCAAATTTTTTACAGAAAGAAATTCAAAATCATTAAATTCCTCCCTTGCAATCTTCCTTCTAAACAGCACATTCCTCTTCATCTCCACTTGAAAATCCCTTCTCTCACCTAAATCCCATTCTTAAGCTAACTTCTCTCCTCCCAATTGTCCACTGCTAACCCTTCACCATTAAAATTTCTTCAGTCACAATCTGCTACTTACTACAATTCCATTAATTCTCAGATGAAAATCCCAATGTCTTAGTCATTGGTCGTTCAAATTCTGGTAAAAGAGAGTACAAAATATGCAGATTTCAACTACAAATTTGAAAAATCTCTAATGGGATTAGTAGAGGAATTAGAGAAGAGACTGGAATTAGTCAGGAAGGGGTATGGAAGAAGGAAGGAGAGAGATGGTTAGATGCAGGATTTTTTGGATTTTGAAGAAAAATGTAACTTAAAGTTGGAATGTGGAGGGGGTTAAAAGAGGAGATTTTGGGGGTGGAGGGGTTGGAAATAGAGATTTTTGGGGTAATTGATGATTATGGTTGTTTTGGTATTTATTTTTTAAGAAAACGAAAAATGGTTATGGAAAAACTATTTAGTATCACTTTTTATTTTTGTATATAATTCTTTCGATATGACTCAAATAAAATGGAAAACTCTTCTTCCTTTGCATATAAATCGTTTTATTCATGAAATTTTGATAAAGAAATATATATATCCAAATAAAAATTTCAACCATCCTAACACCGATTATTATGCAAGAATTCTTAATTTTAATCTCTCCAGTTACTTATTTCCAAAAAAATGCTAATTTTCAGAAATCATAATCTTAGCAACTAATAAATACTAATGAGTTTTCAGGCGGACTTGAAAGCCTTCTTTCTCATTTTTATGCTGAAAACTTTCAAAAAGCTCCTAATCCACCAAAGTCCAGAAAAATGTTTGATTCACTAAAGAAACATGAAATTTAGGACTTATTAAGCCTGGCTCAAATATGTATGTTTGGGTCTATCTAGTAGATTTTAAAACTTTACTACTATTTTCATTTGCCACTCATCCTCTATTGAATCACGGAATGAATAGCTTCCTATCTGGTCCCATAGACTTGGGTGATTCAAAATTTATAAGGAAGTTTTAGTCAACCTAGTACAAATTCTTCCTGACCCATGAATCAAAAGAGAAGAAAGTTTAATGGAAAAGCGTCGTTAAACACTAATTTAATATTTTGAGGCTGTATTAGTTATATTTCCCGTTAGGATTCCAATTTGGAGGCTGATTTTGCCTGCCTTGAGGCTGTCTGTTTTGGGATTGGAGATTAGGCTGGCCTGATAATCCTTGTAACATCGCTTGCCTTTGGTTTTGAGAACTCATGATTAAGTTTTTGAGTTGTGCTTGTTGGAGATAATGTGGTGGGATCTGAGGCTGTGTCTGTTGCTGAGGGAAAGTAACTTGGTTGAAAAGTCCAGCTAGCTGGTTCAGCTTAGGCAACTGTCCACTGACTGTTGGCTGCCTTCCCATATTCTGTTTTGGGATGTTCATAGGTATGTAATTCTGAGGAGTTCGTACGCTGTAGGGGTACTGAGATTGAATCATTGGCTGTAGGTTCTGAAAATTAGGCAGGACTTGTTGGCGAGATTGAGCCATCATATGGATAGGAGGTGAATTAGAAGTCGGGCGGGAATAGAACTGTGGAGGTGGTTGCTGAGACATCATCGATGGCATTCCTGTCCTTTGTTGCATCTGGGGTTGCTGATATTTAGTCATTGATTGGATATTGGGTGGTAGGGTAGGGATAGAGCTCTGCATGTAGACAGGCTGGTTTGAAGTGGGAGGTCTTTCTCGAGAAGGCATGGCTTGAGGAGCTGTATTCATATGCGCTTCGGGCTGGTTCTGACGACTATAGTCAAAGTTTTGCTTGTATGGTGATTGTTGGAGCTGACGTTGAGGCTGAGTCTGAGCTACTGGAGGAGGAGATTGAGCGGGTTGAACTGGCTTTGGCTGAGGAGGAGGTGATTGGACTGGTGGTGAAACCGGTATAGAAGAAGGAGCAGGCGGAGGATTGGCCGGCTTTACTACCTCTTTTTGGTAGATTTGTCTTGGAGGTGATTTTTGGGTGATGTTTTTACTCTCTTCCAATTTCTCCTGAATTTTAGGAAAATCTTTTGGAAGTTTATTGGAGTCTGTATCTCTGTTAGATTTATTCTCTATCTCCTCAACCTCGTGTTCTTGTTGCAGCCTGACACTTTCGTCATGATTCAATGGAAGATTTGAAACTTTTTGTTCTTCGTTTCCTGATTTAGCCTTTTCAGGAGGATTGTTTTGACTGAAAGAATGGAGGTTTTTAATGATTCTTAAGAAAATATCGAAGAAACGAGCAGGAGCATTATCATTGGTAAAATTCCCTTCAAGTGGATTGTTCCCTTGCATTGTATTATCCTTCTCTTCCTCATTGTTATGTGGAAGGGGAGAAGCATCGTTGTCTTCTTCATTATGTCTTGCTCGTTTATATTGGCTACGAGTGCTAACTTGTTCTGTATCTTTATTGACATTGGTGTTATCGGACTTCCTCTTGGACATCGAATTAAAATAATTTATCTAATTATTATCTGAGTTTTATTTAAGCTATGGGGTTTTGGGGTTTTGGGGTTTTGGGGTTTTGGGG